CACACAGAGATCAGAGGTAATCGTGCACAGTGGTAGTCCAGTGACTCAGCACACTGAGATCAGATCTCATAGCACACAGACAGTGGTACGTCAGAGGATTCAGGGGACAGAGAGCCCATCACAGGAATGAGATCCGGCAGCATTTGACAGGCGGCTGGGTGGTACCGGTGTTCGGGTGGGTGTAGAGGGTGTGGCACTCCGCCAGGATGCGCTCGTTAGTGCTGCGGCCCGACTCCTCGGGTCTGTTGGCAGCAGAACGCCACTTCAGTCGGCCAGACATCTCCCCGAGCAGCGCCCCCTGGAGGACAGAGAGAGACCTGTGGGACACAGGCATAGCAAGAGTCGCACTACCGGACATCTTCACTCGGTCTTTTCCCGGAGGGGTCAGGGGGGCAAAGAGTACAGCACAAACACAGGGATTCGAACCCGCAGCCTTCCGGTTACAGCTTCACATCCCTGGCCACTGTGCCTCACTGCAGCCTTGCTACATATCACTCAGTATCATATCGTGACTGAAACACACCAGCACACCTCCGGGCTGTTATTCCCAGGGTAGGGATATTTCCACCCGGGAAAGCAGTCGTAAACCACAGGGCTCTCCTGGAATAATGCCCAGACAGAGAGGAAAACGCCTTGAAGGAACTGACACTTTTCTCACAGGTGTGCGGCGGGGAGCGATTTGGAACACGAGGAGACCGCCTTCTCTGTCGGGATCCGATCGGTGGAAAACTGCTGCCTGTTACACGATGTTGGATCTTCGAACCCGAGCCCAGGCTGCGCCTGAGAGTGCAGAGTGAGTGTTTTCCCTCGTCTCGGGCTGGGTCAAGCTGGAGACCGGCTCAGCACCACAGCTCCATAAGAACTCCAATAATCCAGACTGGAAAACTGAAGAAAGGAGGACTTACAACACTACGTCTTCACGCGGCGCCTGTGAAAACACAGCAGCTGCTCTGAGGCCGCAGGCAGGGAAGGAGGGGTATTAATAGCACAGAGTCACAGCCCCCAAATTTCTGGTGATACTGTTTCAGTGAAGCAATATATGAACACAGTGGAACAGTCCATCTACAATAGGAGCTACAGTCCCAGTACAGGAGAACAGTCC